GTCATTCACTGATAGACACTTGGGTAATTTACACATCGTAGTTACTGTGCATAACTCTGCTATGAATATGGGTATACAAAGCCTATTTAATCTTGATGAACAAGATTTCATTACCCTGTGTGGATGCATACCATATACTCAAAATCTAGAGTGGGAGTTTCTGAAGGAAAGTGAAAAAGATGCTTGATTCTGTTGCTTTTTTTTTTCTGTAGCATCACTAACTATTCCTCTCTCTAGTTAGTCTCACCAAATCTACACTATGGAAAGTTTTCCTATTTCTAAGCACAGTGTCACGATAATGATCTTTTGTCTTTTCCCATGAAGTTGCCAATTCACAGATGAATAGTCCCCACATCTTCTACTTCCAAATTCATTTTACATTCTACTTCCACCTTTCCTTTTTAAATGCTTGACTTTCTTTCAACCTGGGGGGGAGGGGAGGAAGCTATGTGTATTTTGTTAAAGTACTCCTAAAAGAATTCTTAAGCACCCAGTGAATTATTCAGTACCTATGAATCAGCAATAATGGGGTCTATTTTAAAAACCAAAAATTTCAAAGGGCACATAAATAAAAATAGAGTATTATAAATATAATTGCAAGTTAAGCCTCCCACTACCTAACAAGAGTTCTTTAAATTGTTCTCTCTGAGAGAAGATACCAAAAATGTGCTGATAATTTTGAAGAGCATAGAAGAGGATCAATAAGTTAGGAAATAAGAAGAAAAAAAGTTGGGGTTTTTAAAACCTGGCAGTAGATTGGAAAAAAGAAATGTTAAGTACACATAGTCTTAACAGATAATGGTCACATTAGAAATGCACTGCACTACTAATGTACACATTTTACGAATAGTCCTGTATATACTATGTATACCATGCATTTTCCTATTCAAACATACATATCTGTGAAAAAGCTTAAGTTATAAATAGGCACAGTATGAGAGCAACAATAATAAAATAATTGTAAAAGTATACCATAATAAAAGTTATCTGAATATAACCTCTCTCCCTCAGACTCTGGCAGACTGCAGGTAACTAAAACCTTAGAGAGAGAAAACTCAGATAAAGGAGGACTACTGTAACTCAAAAAGTAAAGCATCACAGAACACCAGTCTCATCTTATGGCAGATGCACAAAGCTGTATGACCTATTTTACATATGTATATCCATACATGGTCAACACCATTTGCTGTCATCCTGTGGAAGAAACCAAAATTAACAGGCAGCAGACACTGGAATACATTTAGCTATTCTGCAGCTAAATAAGGCTTTCTTCATCTACTTCACTTATTGCTGTCCCTGGCTCAGATCATTTGTAGCAGAGTAAGTAAAACTGAAAAGGGGCCAGCTATTCTTAAGGAATGTCAAAAGGAAAAGGTTTACCACACTGAACAGTCCTATTCAATGCCCTATATAAGAAACTATGAGTCAGATAGAGAGATGGATAGATTTGTTTTTGATAAACTAGGGTAATGGTACTCTTCAAAGAACAGAGATCTCATCTGTGAGATATTTCAAAGATAAAAGGGCATAAAGCCAGAGCAAATCAAAACTTTTTAAGATTCCTTCAACCCCTGATTATGTTATGGATATCACCTTCCCATAATATACTAGGTATAAAAGAGTATTTATAAACATGATCTAGAGAGCAGCAAAGAAAAAGCCATTCCTGTAACACTGTGTTTATGGAATACATCCCAGAATTTTTCACAAAGATAATCAGAGGAGTCTTTAGTATCAAATGAAACCCAAGGAAGGGTCACAAGACAATGACATAAAAAAAAGCAAATTATAAATCAGAAGATTTGGGAGCTCCAGCCACTGGATCAGAATTTAATCATCCATGACAACAACTTCAACACACTCACTCTCTTCAAGAATAACCAGAGCTCACTCACATAATATGCACTTAAATCACCTTTATGAAATTTTAGTTGTTTCCCTGTAATTCTTACTGGGATGAGTGCTATTATAAAAGGCCATTTTCCCGTGCTAACTTTCTACAATTTCTCTGTCATGTAAGCCCATATACACATATTCATCCCTAAGCTGGAAAAAATGCTTAATACCTTAAAACAGAGCAGAATACTGTGACATGAGTGGAAAATTTCTATCCCACAACAATAGAATAGACAAGTGGATCCTACTCAAAAGTCTCACATTTAATCATTAATAAGCACTGTGTCATCCTCAATAAAATTACTTGCCATTTCAATTTTAGTAACCTCTTTCTATATGCCTTAAAAAGTTCCTACTTCATTAGCTAAGTACAATAAAAAACATTCTTTAGTAAAACTAAGCTGTAGTAAATTCACAAGTATATTAAAGGTGTTTTATCACCTTAAAACTGTGAAAGACAGCAGGTACTTCTACCAATAAGTCATATGTGAAAACTGTCAACATGCTTTTCAACCCACAAAAAAGTAGTATTACATTAGTAAAATATAGCACCACATTTTTCTATGTGCAAATATTTATAGTTATTTGCAGTTTCAATTGAAAAATCTACTTATAATTTCTAGGGCTACAATTTTGTGATGTTATAATAGGTGATATTATAATATGAAATTTGAATGTTATTTGGAAAGTTAAAAAAGAGAAAAATAACTGGTATTTGTTCATTAAAAGAAAGATATATTATGTCTTGATGATAGTTTCCCCACCTACACATGGATTTTAAATTCCATAAGGTCCCCAAAGCAACTGGTCATTTGCAGTCATTACAATGTCAACATGTTGAGAGCTTTTATAATACTCTTTCTACAAACTGGGTATACTTCCATTACCATAATTTTGCAAAACAGCATAGACAAATCACTGTTGTCCTTTCAAAGCTGATATAAACATCTTCAGCCTAAGAAACCCAAAACTATTATAAAATTTTTTTTCTGCAACTACTATTTTACTTTTCTAGAAGCAAATATAAAATGTCTCTTGGTAATAAGGCTAAAGTATATAACTGCAGAAAGTGTGTGGTTTTTCTACAATATACCCCAAAGGGAAAAATATATGAGAATCTGAATAATTGTATGATCTGCCAACCCTAACAGGGAATTTTAAAATGAATTGACAAAAACTATATTACCAAATGTCTATTTCAATAATGAAAAGAGGAATAGTCCTATGAAATCATATTGCCCCTAAAATTGTCTAGCTAAGTAAGGCCAAGAACAGAGAACATTCATGATGCTGAGATTCAGTTCACTAGTCTATATTTTCCCAAAATCTGAACTGCTGAAAACAAACCATTCGCAGTTTTTCTTTATTGTTAATTAAATCATTTTACATTGCGTTGTGTTTGCAGTAATACAGAGCACCAAATAAATTAACATGATAAAATGCAAAAATGTCAAAATGACACCAATTAGTATAATAGTGGCAAGTTTATCTAAGATTTCAAAAATAATTTATAAGTTGGGCTTTTAAGAATCCACATTCTTCTAAGTAATTGCCTTTATTGCTTAGTTTATTTCTTGAAGGACTTATGATCAGCCTGTCAACACAAAAAAAGTACTCATTTCAGGCTTTCCAAGAGTTCCAATATCTCATCTTTACCAGAAAATCTATTTAATGGCAGCCAATTTGCAAACACAAAATTTAAGACTACAGCCTCAGTAAAACAAGAAGAAAGAAATTAAAGTTCACTTCAAGTATTTATGTTGGCATAGACTGAACAGACGACTTAAGAAAAGACTGACACCAACAGCTCCATTTTGCCATCACTCATGTGCTGCATGTACCAGTTTTCATATTACTTTAATCAAGAGACACACATAATGAGTGTATCACTTAAAGTATGCAAATTCATTATTCCTTCTTTGTGAAAGTTTGACATCCTGGCTTGTATCACATTCACAAACTAAATATGCATTCCACTGAAAGAAACTAGAATAACTTAACTTTTTAAGTTAATATTTTCATGAAAGAAGAAAACAACTAAGTGGGTGCTTGTAATATAAGATTGCTGAGGTCAATTTTATCAATAGTTCTTTAAGTTTCCTTCAAAATGTTTGGGAGAATATTTACTGTCTTACAATTAGTCAGAACTTAAAATGTAACTGACTCCAACAGCTAAACACAAATAAAAGCACCATAAATAGCAGACAACTAACATTTAATAACAACAAAAATACTTTTATTATCTATACAGATAATCCAATAAATACTCCTCAATAAATACTTTGTCCTAGATCATTGAAAAATTAAAAATCAAAATCAAAATGAAACGATCATTCCATTTAGAAATAAAATAATTTCACCTAAAAACAACAATTTTAAAGAAAAAATAAGCAGTTGTTTCACCTTCTCATTTTTTGGTCATAACATTTCCTTGCTCTTAAAGCTTTATATTTGATAGCTTGGTTTTTGTTTTGCTGGGTTTTTTTTTCCCCATATGCTATCTTGTAAGAAAATGTAATGACAAGACTAATAAATATTAAAGATTTACTCAAAAAAATTACCTTGTCCTTCTAATAGCAGTGAAAACTGGTGAGAAAAACTAATATTGAGGGTTTTTTTTAACACTTTAAGATAAATATAACAAATATCTGAAAAGAAAATAATTTTTACCTTTTCCAATATAAATATATTCTTTCCATTCATATACTCCCAATCCACCACATATTTAATACAAAGAGATGACGATGAGCTAACTTTTGATCACATATTGTGTGCTAGGCATCACACTTATATTAAATGCATTACAGATAACAGCAATTTTGTATCAGGGATTAGTCAGGGCATTTCTATCTGGTAAGTACAACTATTAACCCTATTTTATGTATGGGGAGATTGAGACATAAAGAGGTTAAACAATTCATTCAAAGTCACAAGTCACTGACAGCTGGATTCAAAACTAAATTGCATGGCTTCATACCTGGTTTTGGAATTACTATACTAGCTATGTGTAAAACACACATAGTATATGGCACAAAACCTGACACCTAGGAGCTACTAAATAAAAGTGTAACTATTATCATATTATTTATGTGTCTTTTACTTACTCTGTGATAACTCTGGATTTCCTCTCAGATTCATCATCTTTGGGACTGAAGGGCCATACACATCCACATCCAACAAACCAACAGCCTTTGACTGAAAGAAAACATAATTTGCCGGAAGATTATTCCCAGTCCTTACCAAAGATAAGGCACAAAGCAATAGTAGGTCTGACTATAGCAAAGACAATATGCAAAACGTTCCAGAATAATGACCGAAACTTTCAAACAAAGCAACATTAAGGTAAAAGAGCACAAACTTTTTAAAGTAAATACTTGTAGTTTTACTTATTTCTTCTAGATAACAGTAGAAAAAACCGCATATACTTTACCCACCTTGGTTCAGATCTCCCAAACTGGCTCACAAATAGGCTTTTTGACCTCAACACAAGTTACATTCTCACAATATTAAAATAATGATTTATAATGACAAACAAAACCCTAGGGAGATGAAGAATTAGCATTTGGAAAGCCCATCTAACATACCAAATATAAAGCAGGGGGAGCTGGGAGGGGTGGAAATCACAGAAACAAGGGCCATAATAAAGCAAGTGAGAAATTCTGATACAGATCTGGTATGGAGATGCTACAGAGGATAGTGGTAGACATAACACAGAGATAACATATTATGTGAAAGTCAAAGTTAAATACCCAAGATACTCCTGGAGAATTTATAAACAATTAAAATCATTTTTCTTTGATGATCTATCCTTGGGATAGTCTATTCCAGGGCAGACTATCCTGACTGGTCGCATCCAGCCATTTAACCAAGAAAAGGAAAATAAAATTCACTATTACCAAATAAGCCTTTTTTTCCTTCTCCCCCTCTCCTTTCTCTTTGGTAAATTAAATCAGTCTGTTACTGGTTTTCCTCATAAGCAAAAACAAAATACTATTCTTAGCTATATGCCTTTGAATTATGTTTCACCAAAATTTACAACTCTCTTCTCTCTCTACCTATATTCTGGCAAGATAAAACTTAACCTCAGGAAAAAACAAAAAACTGTTTTCACTAAACAATCCCTCATTTTTCATGTTATCTATCTATTTCCAGACACAAAATTACTTCTTAAACTTCACTCTCTGGTTTCTATAAATATACAAAATAAGGCAAATTCAGCAATTATGTTTCCAACTGCACTGACTCAAATTGCAGTTCTAAGAAAATCACTTAATGCCCCTGTGAGATGCACAGAGATTAAGGAACTTGTCACTACCAAAATCTCAGCTTATTGCAAAATAAACCAAAAAATGTATTAAAATAGGAAGGAGGTAACTCCCTGGTGGCACAGAGTTAAAGTCTCAGGGCTATCAAGCTATCTCCAGCTACTGCAGCATGAGTTTGATCCCTGACCAGGGAGCTGACCCACATGGCTTGGCAGGTCTCCCCTGTTTCACCTGCTGCTCCCCTCTGCAGTATATTTCAGTAGATATGCCTGTTCTGCTTCCCACTCTGACTCTGGTGTATCCTCTCACCCACTGCACCTCTGGTCTAGAACCCAGTCTTGTACGCATAAATAAATAAAATAAATCTTTAAAAAAATAGGAGGGCCTCCCTGGTGCCGCCGCCGGTTGAGCGCCGTATTGTGAAGTTGTTTGCAGCCTTTGCAGCCCAAGCTCGATTAGGCTGGCTGGCGAGAATTCCACATGGTGCAGCAGACCTCTCCTGTCTAGCCCGCTGCTCCCTCAGCAGCGTGTTTCGTCAGTCTGCCTGTTCTGTTCCCTGCTCTGTCTCTGGAGAATCCTCTCCCCTCCTGTGCATCTGGCCTGTACCCCAGCACTTATATAGATAAAATGAAAAAAAATAGGAAGGAAACTTTACTTTTAACAGAATGGTAGCATACAACATGTTTTATGTATTTAAGTATTGGCTTTTCAAGGGTAGGAGCATTCAGTAAGAAAGCCTGGTTTTGTTAATATAACAAAATAATACCATCACCAAAGGATCTGATGACACTATAATTATCATCCTAGAATTTCACCTATATTCCCAATATTTTCTCTTGACACCTATAAGAACTAAAATTATCACAAAATAATAATAAATGCCAACAACAACAAAAATTTAAGACTCTTTTTCCTTGCTCTCTTATTTATATTAATGTTGGTTTTATAATAATTTAAAGGCATCAGTTCCCAGATTTTAAAAATACCTGACAAGTAAAACAAGCTTTTAAAGTTTATCTTTTCATGAAACAAAATAACTAAGTAGTATTTGCAATGTAACACTGCTAGGGTTAACCTTATCATCACCATATCTTCAAGTCCCTTCCTATTTAGCCTGTCTTCTGGAAGAAAAGCATGCCTGGGGCCTCCCTGGTGGCACAGCGGTTGAGCGCTGGGTTGCGAAGCTGCCCGCAGCCTCTGCAGCGCCGGTTCGATCCCCGGCTGCTCCCCGGCCACTGGAGGACAGTCCCACATGGTGCGCAGACCTCTCCTGCCGTGCGCTGCTCCCCTCAGCAGTGTACTTCGGTCCTTCTGCCTGCTCTGCTCCCCGCTCTGGCTCTGGTGAATTCTCTCACCCTCCCACACTTCTGACTATACCCAGTGCTTGTATAAATAAATAAAGAAATCTTAAAAAAAAAAAAGAAAGAAAAAAAAAGAAAAGCATGCCTGTATCAAAATGAACTACTGATATCATGGTTCAAGACTAAAGGTCTGACCTACAATGTGCTATGGTAGGGATGGGTTTTCTATGTACCTATATAGTGGGCAAATACATTACCACATGTGAAAAAAAGGGGCAGGGAGAAAGTTCCTCTGCTTCCTAAAGAACGGAACAAAAGATTGGAGAATCTTCTGTGCTTTTTACATACTTTCCCAGAAGTTAACAGCTTATCTACATTTAATACTATCACACACACACACACACACACACACACACACACACACACACACACCAAAAAGGAAACAAGAAAGGAAGGTATTAATAATGGAGGAAGAAAGGAAAAAGGAAGAGAGAAAGGCACAAAGGTAGGGAGGAAAAAATGAAGGAAGGAAAGTTTATATTAAGAACTTGCCTCTACAGACAGCTCTGTGTATAAATCAAAATGTGTGAAAACATGCCGTCCTAAAACACCCAAATAAACACATAGACTTTGCCTAATTATGTCTCCCAGTGCTTGAATTCCTTCTGACTGCCAAACACCCTACTAAGCATTTCATTTACATTTCTCACTGACTTTTCATAATAATCCTGAAAATGATATTATACCTACTTATGGATAAGAAAGTTGAAATATAACACTCAAAATGACCTCTTTTCGAAAGTTTCCTTCTTAGAATAAAGCAGAATGGGAAATCAAACAAAAAATAGTAACTTCATCAACTTTAACATGATCTGACTACAAGACTTAAACATAGAGCAGGGGTCAGCATACTTTTCCTGAAAGAATCAAACAATAGTAAATAAATCAGGCCTTGTGAATCATATGATCTGCAATCACTCCATGCCACCATAGCAGCACTACAACAGTCACAGATAATATGTAAATGTGAAATCGGCCATGTTCCAATAAAACTTTATTTACAAAACAGGAAAGGATTTGGTCCACAGACCACAGGATGCCAATACTGATTTAGAGACTAAATTTTCATGGCCAAGTTATTTAATCACCCAAGAATATAATTTCAGTAGAGTCAAGAATGGGCAGGACATATACATCTCTTTTAGTGTCAGAGGAGCTATCTCACTACCCTTTATCTTTAACTGGCTAGTTTTTAAAAATAATAGAGGGCCTCCCTGGTGGAGCAGAGGTTGAGCTCTGGGTTGCAAAGCTGCCCGCGGCCTCTGCAGCACCGTTTCAATCCCGGGCTGCTCCCCTGCAGTGTACTTCAGTCCTTCCGCCTGCTCTGCTCCCCGCTCTGGCTCTGGTGAATTCTCTCACCCTCCCGTGCTTCTGACTGTACCCACTGCTTGTATAAATAAATAAATAAATCTTTTTTTTTAAATAAATAAATAAATAATAAAATAATAGAGCACACTTCTCAGGTTGTTTCACTGGAACTAAGCTAGTATGTCTTGCTTTGATTTATATATATCATGAATAAAATCATGCTCATTAAACAAAAACAACAAAGTCTATATAAACTAAGGCATATTGTACTTAGAATTAGCAGAGCTTCGGGACCAGGAAAATTACCACAGCTACAAGAATTCACTTAAATATATTTTTAAGTCTAGAATTCAGCAATGTTCAAAAGATGCCAAATAAAACTTCATTTGTTTTTCAGAATTTACTCCATTATTTTTACTATTTTTAAAGATTTATTTACTTATTTATACAAGCACTGGGTACACAGTCAGAAGCGTGGGAGGGTGGGAGAATTCACCAGAGCCAGGGCGGGGAGCAGAGCAGGCAGAACGTCCGAAGTACACTGCTGAGGGGAGCAGCAGGAGGCAGGAGAGGCCTGGGCGCCAAGTAGGACCCTCCTCCGGTGGCCGGGGAGCAGCTGGGGATCGAACCGGCGCTACAGAGGCTGCAGGCAGCTTCACAACCCAGTGCTCAACCGCTGCGCCACCGGGAGGCCCTCAATTATTTTTAAATTGGTTCCTATACTAAGTGTATAAATAGTCTCTCAACTTAAATTTCCAGACAGACAGTTTTACACTGTAGGAAAATAAATGAGCAAGGTAGGGCAACTATGAAATAATATATGCAGCTGAGTGTCTAAGTAGCTAAATTTTATGAATTCTTTCCACCTCATTCTCCTAAAATTATTATATTTAATCAAGAAAGCTCCAATTAGGATATTACTTATCTTTAATTTCAGCCAGGCTCAAAAGACAAATAATTATAAAAGTCTCACGAAATATATAACATAAAGAAAATGATTATTAGCAAAAATAACTATAAATTCACAATTATAAAGTATGGCTGTCATCTTTAATGTCATCATAAACTTAATCTAATATTGTTGGTACCTAACATTATACTCCTTTTTCTAATTTTCCTGCAGTGCTCAAAATATAGCAGATGACATAAAACAAGACAGATCAAACCCGAATAAACCGTTCAGATTTTTTGATTTGCTTCTTTATAATTCATAACACCCTGTGAAAGCTGTAAAAGGTGGTAGAATTATTCAGTGATTATA